TCTGTGTATGGTCTGAGTGCTAATTATGATGTACTGAGACACTTGATGAGCCTATCAGTTGTGCTAGCTATCATAGGTAGGGGAAGTTTGCATTGATCAATATACTACTATTATCATCATTAGTTACACCTATTCTACGGGTGAACATTATGATGGATCTCGTGAAGGTAATACTAGACATGGATGGGGTACATACTTCTATGCTAATGGTGATGTATATTCGGGTAATTGGTTTCGTAATATTAAATCTGGTTGGGGTATATACCTTAGACATGGTGGAGAGAAGTATGAGGGTACATGGAGTTATAACATGAAACATGGTTTAGGATGTCTAGTAATAATAATAACATCAACAACAACAACAACTACTATCGCCGCTTATACAGGTACATCGTAATGGTACTAGATATGTTGGTCAATTTGTGGATGATGTTAAACATGGAAGAGGTCTAGCAATGCATCGTAATAGGTTCTCCTCCTCCTCCTCCTCCTACACAGAGGAAGAGGCTCTTCGTCCTTATTTCAATATTGTTGTTGTAGGTAATGGCTTGATCAATGCCGAGGTGTGGGATAGGGGTATACTAGTCAGCAAGGCACCTGTATTTGAGGAAATATACTCTAATAATAGTCAGCAGCAATTACAGGATGGTGTTGTGTCCCCTAGTAGTGATAGTAGGACCACTACTCCTGTGTATAGTATACCAACCTGTAATAGATTCCATGTCGCCTTTCGAGCCTGGTGGGGGGAATGATAAGATGTGTACGATGGGCGTGTTGCCTCTAGCTCCACCGAACTCTATAATCATACATCAGGTAGTAGTCTTCTTCTGCTCTCTGTATTATGTGTTGAGTGGTGACTTTAGGAACCTCTTACTTCGGAGCTTATGAGTGGGGATCAATCACCACCCAACTTACTTGAACAACAACAACAGCAACACGATAAGGGGGAATTACTACCAGTTACAACAGCTCAGCCTGAGGGATGGGAGACTAAGAGCAATGCAGCTTGCATAGATGAATGGACTGTATCAGACATCGGGGTGGTAATACTCAATTCATCCTATTAGACGGTCTGCGTGTGAGGACATAGTGCTTGTTTATGGGATATGTGTGAGACACTACGCGAGTACAGAGTTGTAGTAGTAGTAGCAAACCATATTATATCCCTATATTGCTGACAAGCATGCGACAAGGTTCACCGATAGCAGAATCTTGTTAACCGATTCACTTGCTTCAGTTGCTCACTGGACTAGGCTTAGGCCAAGTACGTGATGCTTTCGAGAAGAATGATGTCGATGGGTTCGTATTTGAACGTTTGGTGGGTAATCTGGATGACGTTGAAGATGACGAAATGTTAGCCACGCCATCTAATGCAGCTGGGGATACGTGTAAGCTTTGTTATCTATTGGTACCGACAGTTCACAGTGTTGCCTTTATCCCAGCGAATACCACTCCTCCCCGACATAGCAATAATACTCATTTTGGGGGCCTCAATCACGAAGGAGTCGTTGAAGGCATTAGTGATGTTAGAGATGATCAAGATCGAGAGCACCTGTATCACAGTACTACTGACGATAGTGCAGTATATACTTGTTGTAGTGCTGCTCATGTAATGATAGACTACTCACCATCATCATCGTCGTACCACAATAGTTTATCCATCTTAGGAGCTAGGATTGACGGATCCAACACTAAGACGTATCCTATTGATAGTAATACGGGTGCTTAGTAAACTGAAACAAAGAGCTTTGATGCCGACCATCACTACCCAACATCTACACCAGTGGTTTTCAGCATTGGAGGTAGTAGTACTAACGATTGATACATATTCCAGTACAAGTAATACTATCCAGGTTAACTATGGTGATATCGACTTCCAATGCT